GACCGCTGGACTAAAGCGTATGAGCTGGTCAACTCGAGCGACACATCCTTATGTCATCACTAAACTGAGTCCATACATGAAACATGTAAAGGGACAAACAGTGAAATATACTTTTACATCACTGGATAAAACTACAGTCTGAGACCATAGTGCAGCTTGTTTTTTCTCTGGGATGCTTTTACGGTCGGTGCTGCTGGAGTCTAAAAATAAACCTCTTCACTGGAGTTTTCAGAGGACACTGCTCTTATCCACAATTAGCTCACCTCCAGTTTTGTGTCTTTGAAGACTCTCTACCATCTGCTCATTTTACTGGAACTCTTCTGCATTCCCCACCCCACCCACCCACCCATTTACTATAATGCAGAATCACTGATTCACTAGTCTTCTTCTTGACAGAGAAGTCTACTGTACCGGATGGTGCCACTGAACAGGATAGGGTCTTGGAGGATGATGGACAGCCGAGATCTGAGAGTCTGCAGAGGCAGCTTGGAGATGTCGATGTTATCAATCACAATCCTTCCTGTGTGACAGAAGTTTACAAAAACACCCCGATTTCACCAATTAAGACACTTTCCCTCTTTTTTTTCTACTATTTCAATTATTATTTTATCCCCTGTGGAGACACGAATCCCATTTGGATTACGTCAGGAAGGGCATCTGGTGTAAAAATCAAACGTGCAGATCTACGTGTTACCCCTTGTGAATAAGCAAACAGCCAAAAGTAGATGTATATTTTTTCCTGTTAACTTTTTTTTGTGCTGGTGTGAAGCTGAAGTGATATTTTACCCTCAAACATGTCCACCATGCGGAAGAAGGCCAAGGAGAAAGAGGATTTACCGCTGCCGGTCCTGCCACAGATCCCCACCTGGGGAAAAAAAGCAAAAACAGTCATCATAATTATCACCATTAATCTATCCATCCATTCTCTTAGCAGCTTATTGGTGTGGGAGGCATGTGGCTACAGTCTATCCTGCAAGAGCAGGCTACTCCCTGAACATGTCAAAGTCCATTAAAAGGCTCACCAGTGCTCAGTAAACTAAAATATGTATTTTCTGTATTATCTCTTTTCACAAGTAGAAGACTTAAATTGGTAAAATAAAAATAAAAATCACAAAAAATAAAGTACTGAGTGAATACATTAATATTTTATTAAATGCATCCAAAGTGGCATTAAAAATAAATGCAGACATTATTTCATTTATATTTAAATGTGATTTATTTATTCGACCTTGTATCATTTCTCCTGTTAATTAGCTTCCCGGTTTATTTAAATCTCAGCAAGTATTTCTGCTGTGAGTCTGACGCTGATCAAAAACAGTCCATAACACAGTTTGAATGACAGCT